GACGAATCAGCGAGTGGTCCACAATCTGGTCAAGTTTTCTCATCCTCTCTGGCTGACTCGCCAAGTCAATCTGATCCATTGTCTACATCATCTCAAAAATTCTTACAAGGATTGTTTGCGACCTACTTCGAGCGGATGTGCATCCGTTCAGACGAACGATCTGCAAAGAATGAGAAGCACATGATGGATGAGTTGAAGAAGCATATTCAGAGTTGCATCCTCAAGGAAACTTCAGCTTCTTCAGCTTTAATCAAACGGACTATTGAAACAAATATGAGGTTTGAACAAGAACTTAAGTATGCGATGCAGTCCCTAATGATTCCTCATTTTCAGAGGGGGTGCCAAAGTATGTTTGAGCAAATGGATACAGCATTCGGTAAAGGAATGAAGGAGCAAATAGAAGGATCCCTCCAAGTATATGATGCTTCAGTCTCTCCACTAGTTTCCACGTTAAATGTAAGTTGAAAATCCGGATTATATTTGAGTTTTGCTTTAAGAAGTCGTCCATTTTTAACCGACCAAATCAATCGGGTTTACGTTTGTAAATTTTAACCGTTCAAACATTATTTTAATCTTTAGAAAATCATGAAAGACATTTGTGGTGTTTGTTATTTTTGATGTTTTGAAAGTTGTAATATTACAAGCAACAGATCAACCTGAATGTTTCTCTTTAAGAAATAGTACAATCATCGATGAGTAATTACAAACTAGATTTTTGACATGCGTCAACGCAGGATTAGAATATTTCAAAAAAAAAAATCATAATTTTTTATTATATATATGAGAAATTAGAAACAACAAATATCAAATGGTATATCTTCTATATAGATGTATATATTTTATCTTAAAAAATTTAATATGCATGACACTTAAATTCAATGTAAACGTTTTTAATGTAAATCAAATATTTTGAGATTATGGGTTCTATCAAACTTATTTGATCTCATCAAAAAAAAAAAATTATGCTAGTATGTAAATCTTCTTAAATAAAAAATCTAAGAAATACTCCCTTCATTCCAAAAAGATGTTTCAGAGGTTTTACACATATTAAGAAAAACAATTAATGTTCTATAGTAAATGTATTGATTT